AGTGAAACCCACACCGAGAACCATCAAGAGTGCCTGGTGCCTCTGAACAATCGAATGGGTCATTTTATCTTGATACTCTATTCCTTCTGGGTTTTCGCTAACTTTTTATGAACCGTGTTCAAACGACTGCGGTTTTGCATACACCGTGTTTGGTAAACCTTTCTAAATGCCAAATTGGCTCTTTCCATGGAAGGTTAAGCGTTGGAGAATTGTGAATTTTCGTGGAGAATTTCTGTTTTTTATAGAACATAAAATGTCGTTCATGTGTGATTATGACATTAATTCATGAGAGCGATTACAAGTAACCTCACACAATAGGTTAATTTTAAGTGTTTCACCTTTGAGTGCAATAGAACATCTCTGACTATCATATCACAAGCACTGATGATGTCACCTTGGCTGATGATGAAACGTTTGTAAAGCTATGTGAAATGGAATTCAATTCCCTCGAGCTACGCTACGAGAACCCCATTTTCAATACATTATCCGAAGTTGTGATCGAACAATGAACCCTGTGACAAGAGTGTCCTACCACAGTCTACCTGTCGAGGTTCCGTTCAAATTACTCAAATAAATAAAGCGTGGAGTGGCCCTCGTGTATCGGAACATACCTTTACGAGCATCAAACCATATGCAAGCATTTTTCAGATCAGTGGTGATCGAAAGAATACAGCGTGAAAAGATGGAGGATTGCAATTTTGAACAATAGTCACTTTAATTTCGTGTATGGAAAGTAGATAAAACTAGTTGCTGGAGAGGATGGTAAATTTGACGGTAAACTACGCCTGTAAAATCTATTTCATCCAAGGTGAATGTATTTTATCCACTCAAATGGGGACCGTTTCCATGTGTTCACCCGCATCACCCCAGTTTCAGATCACAAGCAATAACCCTCCGTGTGGCTGATTTCTATCGTTTCCCTTATTTTAATTCATATTATCCAACCAGCGGCACGTTCCAAAGGATTGGTTTATGCTAATAAAATTGAACTGTTTACTTCAGAGAAGGAAATGATTTTGAAAAGTTGAAAACGGAATCCATATAAACCAACGCCCATCCTTCTCTGAAAGTTCCCAGGAGTGACTCAATTACTATCTATTTGAAATATCTATTATCTATCTATCTATCTATCTATGCATATTTCTGTCTATCTATGCTATAATATCTATCTATCTATCTATCTATCTATCTATCTATCTATCTATCTATCTATCTATCTATGTCTATCTATCTATCTATCTATCTATCTATCTATCTATCTATCTATCTATCTATCTATCTCTGTATCTATCTATCTATCTATCTATCTATCTATCTATCTATCTATCTATCTATCTATCTGTAAATATCGTATGCACATATTCGGACTTGATATCTTTTGATATGAATTGCTTTGAGAAGAAAACAACAGATCACTGTTAAGGCTTTCGGGTCCCAACCTAGAGATCCGCAGTACAAATATCAACTGGGACACCGAAATAGTTGATGCTGCCGAGGACGAATCCCTAGGGGTGCGAATCAAGTTTTCACCTCTCTTCAAAATTCCTTATACAAAGGGGAACGTGTTTTGTATGGAATTTTCAATAGCAACCTTTCTGATTTTTCGAATTTTGCGAACACTATCCGATTTGTTTGCACTCGCCTGAGTAATTCGTTAGGTGAACAATCGGTGTCGCAAGAATCAATGCCTAAACCGCACCCAATGAAACTGTAATCCGTAACGGAAAAACGAGCATTAGAGAATCTATTTTTTCAAAGAGTTCCAGCACATTCAGTGAACTGAAGTTTCCTGGACTGCTTATGTACATTCCACTCTGATTATTTCATCCACAAGATCCTCAAAGTCATTAAAATCAGAACCTCAGCGAACCCACAACTACCAACACGTGACTTGGATGAAACAATCAATAAAAGTTAATAACGTTTGCGCAAAAAACAATAGATCTTTTTCAAGATCCAGTTTTATTTTGTTGCTTTTGGAAAACACGGACACAGTATTTGAGTACAATGAGACTTACATGTAAGCAAATGCTTCACCACAGTCCTCCGCAACGGTGTCACAGTCAGAATTGTTAAAAACGGATTGAATGTACAGTACAGGGATTTGATACACAATAAGTATATTCGAATTGGGGATGCGATTCCCAATATAAAAACATGTAGGTTGTCCAGAATAAGGAACAAGATGATGGTGAATTCCAATATTGTTATTTCGATCGCCAGGGTCAAAGTATGAATGAATATACTGCGCTGTGCGACCACAATTGAATTTCTGATATCATCACCGTCCTCTGTTCGTCCAATTTGGTTGGTATTGGTCTGATGTGTTATCGAGGTGTGTCGTTTGTTACGACCAGACCCGAGTCGAAGCTGCCGCAGCTGCCACAGGACTGGAACAGTCAGCGTGACAATAAGGACAAAAGGTAAAAAGTACATCACAACGAGCTCCGTTAATGCCAACACATGTTTCACACCTGCTCGACCAAACGGGAAACACTTTCCGTCGACCATATGCGTCTGGAAAAAGCGCAGAGTAGAAACCAGAGTGGCATAGGTGGCAATGAACACGTAACTTGCGATGATGCAAGGTTTTGTACGTGCACGGTAGGCTCTCGGATAGAAAATGGCCCGATATCGATCAGCACACTGACATAACACATTGCATATGATCGCGGAACCGAGCATCACAATAATAAAACCGCTTTGTATGATATAGCAAACAAATGGATTACTGTATGCTTTTTCAGCAGGGAATGAGTAATTCAACGATGCCAATAGATAGTTGGCCGCAATACCGTATAACGCATTGAATATGTTATGGTTGTACATGAGCATCTTCGATGAAGGAGAATCGATCCTGGTTTGGGTGAGAGCAAATACGGTGTAGAATGAGAAAACCGCGCCGAAAGAGAGAAGCACACAAGTACCAACAACCAAACACCATTCATAAGGTTCGATAGTTGGGTTGCTGTTAGCCGTTATTGTGATATTACCGGTCATGTTAATGGTGTGTGTCATCGTTGCAAACGTTCTGACACAGATTCCGCATGCAAACAGAATCCTTGTCTGTTTTGTATTTCCTAATTCAAACAAACACCGTGGAATGTTTCTAGTGCAAAAACGGGAAATGGATATGATTGGTGTTTTTCGGTAACGGAATGTAACCAATCAGATATTTCTTACCATGAAAATATTATAGGGTTAGAGAGTAGTGATTCTGAAAGAAAGATGGACTTGGTAAGTATACCTACAGGTCTAATCGAAACTAAAGCAATGGGTCCCTGTGAAACACTTGTGAGTTCGTTTAGGCAACCGTATTTATCACTGATTTCTTTGGAAATGGATGATTTGGTGTGAGTGCACGATATCACGGATGTTACGACACAAATTGTCCAAAGGCAGTGGAGTTCAGGAGTGAAATATTCAGGCATATCTTCATTTGAGAACGGTATCAATCGAATGCATTTTCTTTATGGTACCAATAACTGATATGACACCGCGTTCCTTTTTTCAGACTCTACTATACCTTAGGAACTGTGAGATGAGTCCTACAAAAATTATTCAAATGAGTCTTTTCGAAATTTGACGATAGACGGACGCAAAAGCTGATACTACTCTAATCAGCCCGGACAAGCTAGTTTACAAGTTGTAATGCTCAGACATCTACGCGCCCTTGTTTTGGTGACGACACGCGGAGTGGTATTCGCCCGACTGACAATCCGTGATGTGACCATAGTTATTAAGTCAAAGTGGAGTTGGGGCAAGGGAATTACGGAATTTCCAACAACCCAATTTATTCAAATAAATTATCTCTTTTGGGCTGTCGAAACATTAATATGTGACACTTGTCGTTCAACAGGTTCCGAAGTGGTTGTATGAATGCATTGCCCGGTATGGGTACTCATGAACGCGGTCACATTTGATGAACTTAAGACGCTTTTCCATGCACCAAATAAACAAACACGTTTAGTGAGAAACAAATATAGTCTTCAGCTACTGTACATTTTTACAAGTGTCCGAATGTGCTGTGTGATAAAGTTCCATCAATTCTTCGATTAAAGCAATCAAAATTTGAAGCATAAATGACGTGAAATAGATGGAACAGCGTTGTCAGTGGTGCACACTCTGAGGGCCAAAATCTTACGCTCAGCTTCCCAATTGACAAATTCAGATGATTGACTTGAAAGAATGTTCCACGATGTGAATATTGGGTGACAAAATCAACAGTGGATGACATGGATTATATACTTTCTGTCCTTTTTCATAAATCAAATCAAGTCTCCTCGCGTTTAGCGGTGACGTGTGGAATATAATATGCACACTGCTATGGGCGAGCAACTTTTATACCATTTTGGTGGCTATCTTGTGTGGACGTTCCAGCCTGTTACGATCAGTTTGTGGCCATGGTCTCCCAGGCTGAGTAATATACTTTACGTAAGTTGAAACGTGCGCTAAAAGACGAGGAGGAAACCCCGTAAAGACGTGTGAAACAACCGTTGTTCTTCTTAGCTATAGACGAAGAGGAAGCATAAGATTTTTTTAATTTTTTTCTCTTTTGCTTCCTTTTAACCAATTCACAATGATACAATTGTCAGGAAGGGATAAGTGGTCAATCCAGAGACAAACACGCAACAACAGACAACAACAACAAACAACAACAACACACAACAACAACAGACAGATTGGGGAAAGTCGGGCGGTGGTGATGGGATTTGAACACACATCCACGAGATGATAATTTGGTGACGTTACCACCAAGCCACCGTCCATCCCGTGGTACTTCCCGGCCTCTCAAAACAAGACTATGAGAATATTGTTCAAATTGTTGTTTG